CTTGAGCTAGAGCGCCACTTCCGGTTTTCTGGTGGTTTATTGGAGATAGGAGTCTCACGGTCTCTCCTGCCTGGGCTGGCTTGAACTGCGATCCTCAGATCTCAGCCTTCTGAGTAGCTAGGATTACAGACGTGAGCCACCAGTGCCCGGCTTGTTGTCACATCTTTTATGATCCTCTTTGTTTTATCGTCACAAACGAGTTTGTCCTCTTTTATAAAAATGTATCATTTTGATAAAATAGTAATTATTGTAATAGATCCACACAGAGATGTTCTTTTTTGTTGTTGTTGGTGGTGGTCATGGGGCTTGAACTCTGGTCCTGGGTGCTGTCCTTCAGCTCAAGGCTAGCATTCTACCACTTGAACCAAAGTGCCACCTCTGGTTTTCTGGTGGTTAATTGGAGACAAGAGTCTCACAGACTTTCTTGCCCGGGCTGGCCTTTAACTGTGATCCTCAGCTCTCAGCCTCCTGAGTATCGAGGCTTACAGGTGTGAGCCACCAGTGCTGGCTTACAGATATGTTCTTAATCATTTGATTAAATCACTTTTGTTCATCCCTCTATCTGGTAATAGCAGGCACTCATATTTATTACATAGACATGATTGGTTATTATTAGGCATTGAATAACAAACTTTTATTTGTTTTTTTTTTATGTGGTTGTGATTTATTTATTTTGTTGCTTGTCCTAGCCACTGTTCCTGAGCTTTTTTTGCTTAAGGCTAGCACTCTACCATTTGAGCCACAGTTTCACTTTTAGCATTTTGATAGTTTATTGGAGACAAGAGTCTTACAGAGGGGCTGGGAAGGTGGCTCAATGGTAGAGTGCTTGCTTTACACGCAGGAGGTCCTGGTTTCAATTCTTCAGCACCACCACATAAGCAGAAAAAGCCGGAAGTAGCACAGTGGCTCAAGTGGGAGAGCTCTAGCCTTGAGCTGAAGAGCTAAGGGACCGCGCCCAGGCCCAGAGTTCAGGCCCCACAACTGGTTAAAAAAAAAAGTCTTACAGACTTTCTGCTAGAGCTGGCTTCAAACTGAGATTCTCAGATGTCAGCTTCCTGAGCAGTTAGGATTACAGTCACTGGAGCCTTTGTAGAATAGTTTTTTTAAGATGACACTAAAAATCAATTAGCATGTTTAATTTTAAAGCTCAGTATTAAAAAATGAATATGTTTTTCTAAAACTTTAGGCTAAGTAACTTTTTGGTGATTCTTTCACTCAAATTGAAATAGATTTTAGAAATAACTATTAATTTTAGTTATTGACTGCAATAACTGCTAACTTCTGTTTTCTAAGGCTAATATACTCATAGATTGCTGTGGATGAAATAATGAAGTTTTTAGGAGGCGTACTAATTATTGTAGTTAAATATTAATTTTGTTGTTGTTGTTGTTGGTTGTAGGGCTAGAAATCAGGGCTTAAGTGCTGAGCTCTTTTGCTCAAGGCTAGTGCTTTCCCACTTTGAACCATAGCTCCACTTCCAGTTTTTTGAATGGTTAATTAGAGGTAAGAGTCTCTTGGGGTCTTTTCTGCCCAGGCTGGCTTTGAGCCATGATCATCAGATCCCAGCCTCCTGAGTAGGTAGGATTAGAGGCATGAGCCACCAGTGCCTGACAATATTCAAAAATTTACTGGAAAATTTGATAGTGGGAAATGATATTTGGTCACTAATTTCTCTAAGGAAAAATATAGGTGAATGTATAAAAAAGCCTTAAAATGCTACAAAAACAGCTGGGCACCTATAATCCTTCCTACTCAGGAGGCTGAGATCTGAGGATCATAATTTGAAGCTAGCCTAGATAGGAAAGCCCATGAGATACTTACATCTCTAGTTAACCTCTGAAATACCCAGAAATGGAGCTGTGACTTTAGTGGTAGAGCAGTGGCCTAGAGCACAAAAGCTCAGGTTCAGCTCTCAAGCCCCGAGTTTAAGCCCCATTGTGAGTACACACAAAAAAAGCCAAAAAGAGAAACATTCTAAATTACAGTATTTCTTTTCATTTCAGGGCTGAACACAGAGTGAAATCATTTTCAGAGGTAAAAGACTGTTAAGAATACAAGATGGGGACTCCTGGTTCTGGAAGGAAAAGAACACCCATGAAAGATCGATTTTCTGCAGAAGATGAAGCTTTGAGTAACATTGCCAGAGAGGTATGTCTGGTAAACTCCCTATCATTGTACAGTGAGATTATCATATAAATGTGGGAGTGGCAGAGATAGGTATTTATACATTTTGAGCTAGCTTTAGAATGCTTACTGTGAACCAGATGCTAGGGCTGACCTCTTTCATACTGTGTTAAAATAAAATACATAGTTAGATAAGTATTGAACTAAGCTGAAATTAATTTGCATTACATTTTTGTCCATTCAGTTCAAGTATTGTTCATATGTACTGAAATGTCTAATTCCTCTTCAAAATTTAGGTGTAAGATAATTAGAATGTTGGAGATACAATAAACTATATTGCAAAAACGGTCATTTTATGATTTGAAGTCCCCTGAGGATCTGTGTAAATATTGACAGTCTTACTTTGTTCAGCCTGACTTTGCTCATGGCTCTTTTGTTCCTTGCTGGCACTTTACCACTTGAATAGTATTACCAGTTCTGATTTTTTGTTGTGTAATTAGAGATGAGGATTTGTCTTCCCCAGGCTTACTTCAAATCTAGAACCTCATGTCTTAACCTCTTGATTAGCTAGGATTATAGTTGTGAGCCACCACATTTTTTTTGTTGTTGTTGTTGTCGGTCATGGAGCTTGAATTCTAGTTCTGGGCACTGTAGCACCAGATTTTTTTTTGGCTCCGGTCGTGGGGCCTGAACTCTGGGCCGTTGAGCCCAGATTTTTTTTTTTTTGAGGAAAAAAAATGCTAGCATCTCCTAGGCTCTTTTTGTATTGTCATTAAGTATGTAGTTCTTCCCCCTTTTAATATAATGCTTCTTTTACAAAACTGGATAGGATTCCGACCTGCTGCTTCATTGAGTATTTACTTGTGCATGCTAAGCAAGAACTCTTTTGATACTGAGCTATCTCTCCAGCCTATTGTTCTAAACATTTTACCTAAGGTAATTTAGTCTTGTAAAATTCTGAGATTTATTTTATTATTATCTCCATCTCACAGATGAAGCAACTGTTACACAGACAACTTCCCCTAGGTTACTTAATGAGGAAGTATCAAAGCTTGGGTTCAAACACATAAAGTCTGGCTCTAGAGAATGTGCATTCAACTGCTTATTATGTCACACTGTTTAAACACTCAGTCTTCTATAACTCAAGTCCTCCAATAGTTTGCTTTTTGGTAATTTTTCATGATTTTTTCCATCTTCATTCTAACAAGAATCTTGAGTTAGGTAGAGCAGATATTATTAACCTTATGTACAGTTGAGAAAGAACAAATGAAGCTAAGGCATATTTATCTACAAGGTATCAGAACCCAGACTCAAAGTCAGCCATTTTTGAGATACACACACACTCACACAGACACAGACACAGACACACACAGACACACACACACACACACACATATTTTTTTTGGTGCCAGTTTTGGTGCTTCAACTTAGGGCCTGGGGGCTGTCTCTGAATTTTTTTTTCTCAAGGCTAGTGTTCTATCACTTGAGCTACAGCTCCACTTTTTTTTTTTTTTGTCAGTCATAATGTTTGAACTCTGTCTGGGAGTACTGTCCCTGAACACTTTTTGCTCAAGGCTAGATCTCTACCACTTTGATCCACAGCTCTACATCTGGTTTTCTGGTGGTTAGTTAGAGATAAGAGTCTCACAGACTTTCTTAAGACCCTTCTGGCTTTGAACCATGGTCCTCTTATCTCAAATTCCTGAGTAGATAGGATTATAGTGTGAGCCACCAGCACCTGGCTAAGACTATTTTTATCCCACTTTGCCATACTGCTTCCAGACCCTTTGGACTCTGGAGACAAACAAGTATGATTTGAATTACAGCTCTGCTAGTTACTAGTAGAGTAATTTTGTTAAGTGATTTTTCTGGATTTCAGTATCTATATCTGTAAATCTCCCTACCTCACAAGCTTATTTGATGATTAAAGGGTGGTAATGCAAGTGGGTCTCTACAGTTAGGTTTACAGCAGACTGTTTATTGCTTATTAAAAAGTAAACATGGAAGATGGGTATGAGGCACATACTTTGGAGGCTAAGGGAGGAGATTTTGAGTTTGAGGACAACCTGGGTTACAACCTGTGTCAAAACAAAAACCAGAAAGTAGAAATAGAAAGAGGTGGTGGAAAGGTAACTAGATCTTTTCTTTTCTTTCTTTCCTTTTTAATTTTTTGTTGGTCATGGGACCTGAACTCAGGGCTTTGGCGCTATCCCTCAGCTCTTCAGCTGAAGGCTAGTGCTCTACCACTTGAGTTACAGCACTACTTCCGGCTTTTTCTGCTTTTGTGGTGCTGAGGAATTGAACCCAGGGCCTCATGCATGCAAGGCAAGCACTGTTCCACTGAGCCATTTTCCCAGCCCCTAACTAGATCTTTTCTTTTCTTTCTTTTTTTTTTAAAACTAGATCTTTTCTAAAATAAGTTTTTTCTTTTCTTTTTCTCCCTTCCTTCCTTCCTTCCTTCCTTCCTTCCTTCCTTCCTTCCTTCCTTCCTTCCTTCCTTCCTTCTTTCCTTCTTTCTTTCCTTCTTCCTTCCTTTCGTGCTTGGATTTGGACTCAGAGCTTTGCATTTCCTAGGTAGGTGCTTTAGCTCTTGAGCCATGCCTTTAACTCTTTGCTCTGCTTATTTTTGAGTTAGGGTCTTGCTTTTTGCCCAGGCTGGCCTGGACTGTGGTGTCCCCTATTTATGTTTCACATGTAGCTAAGATGACAAATGTGTGCTGTCATGTCCAACTATTAGTTGAGATGGGATATTGCAAACCTGTGTGTGTGTGTGTGTGTATATGTGTGTGTGTGTGTGTGTGTATTCTGGCACTGGGCTTGAACTTGGGGCCTTAGTGCTGACCTTGAGTCTTTTTTGTTAAGGCTAGTGCTTTAATATTTGAGGCATAGCTCTACTGGGGAATATTGCAAACTTTATGCCTGGGTTAATCTCTAATCGCAATCCCCCTACTCTAGCTCCTAAGCTAGGATTCTAGGCTTAAGTCACCAGCACCAAGCTTAAAAACCCAGTTTTTTAATATAAATTGTTCTCAAACACCAAAATCTCTCAGGGATCTCAATCAATATACAAATTCTGAGATCTTATTCCATATTTGCATAACTGAATCTAGACTGAGCTCAGAAAATTAAATTTCCTTCTTTCACTCTTTCTTTCTGATTCTTTCCTGGAATTTTGGTGGCCAGTCAGGTTTGGGAATCATAAATCAAAATATATAGATGATCCTATCCTGGATGGTAAATTTGAGGCCTCACACTTGCAAGGCAGGAACTTTTGCTGCTGATTCATGCCTCCACCCATATTTTTGCTGTTTTTTGTTTGTTTTTTTGGGTCCGGTCATGGGGCCTGAACTCTGGGCCTGGGTGCTGTCCCTCAGCTCTTCAGCTAGCACTCTGCCACTTGAGCCACAGCAGCACTTCTGGCTTTTTTTTAAATTTTTTCTGCTTATGTGGTGCTGAGGAATGAACTCAGGGCCTCATGCATGCAAGGCAAGCACTCTACCACTGAGCCACCTTCCCAGCCTTGCTGGTTGTTTTTGAGATAGGGTTTGATTCCTACCTGGGGTGTGTGTCTGGGTGTGATCCCCTTCTGTCATAACTAGAATAACAGGTATGTGCCACTGCATCCAGCTCTCTGTTGAGAAAGGGTCTTGAAAATTTTTCTTCCTGACCTTGCCTTGAACTGCCTTCCTCCAAATCTCAGCCACTAGTGCCTGATTATTGTTAGATTTCACTTTTTCTTTTTTTTTGTCGGTTGTAGGGTTTGAACTCTGGGCCTGGACACTGTCCCTCAACTCTTCAGCTCAAGGCTAGCACTCTACCACTTGAGCTATAGCGCCACTTCTGGTTTTCTGGTCGTTTATTGGAGATGAGAGTTTCGCAGACTTTTCTGCCTGAGCTGGCTGAACTGTGCTCCTCAGATCTCAGCCTCCGGAGTAGCTAGGATTACAGGCGTGAGCCACCGGCGCCCGACTCTTTTTTTGTTTTGGTGGTACTGGAGTTTGAATTCAGGCCTCATGCTTTCAAGACAGGCACTTTTACTGATTGAGCAGTAGTTTTTTGCTGTCCTCTCCTTCCCCCGAGATTGGGTATCAGTGCTTGTCTATGGATAGTTTTTTATAGTTACAGGTTATTTCCCCCCATTTGTAACTACTATGCTATGTTTCCTCCCTGTTTATTACTAACTAGTTAGTTGTAGTATAACTATGTTTAATTAGTTATGTTAGCAGCATTAGTTCTAGCTAGAACTAATCAGTTCTAGCATTAGTATACTAGAAGCTATACAATAACAAAACAATTATAACAATGATATGAAAAGCCAATATTTCTAATTTTTATTTTTATTTTCAGAGTTTGAGTAAGCATACTAACTTTCATAACAAACTCAGAAAAGCTCAACTTTTATTTGAAACTTGAAAGGGCTGATTTTTATTGTTAAGATTTTGTTATATGATATGTGCCTAGTGTGAATCAATAGTTTTAAAACATTAGAGAAAATAAGTTCAGTAATTTTAATTATTCCTTCTGATTCCTTCTCTTTTCTTTAATGTTTTTTAACCATTCACATACCATCTGGTGGGTTAGTTAATGTTTTCTTGATAATAATAAATACTTGATAAATACTTAGGAGAAACAATTTAAAAGAGAAAGAATTTTGGCTCATGATTTCAGAAATCTTAGTGTTGTCAGGCTTCATTCCTTTTAGGCCCATGGCAAGGCAGAACTTTATGGATGAAGAGCATGGCTGAGGGAAGCTATTTACCTTGGTGGCAGCCACGAAGCCAGAGTGAGGATGGGGCCAGTGACAAACTGTATCTTTCCAGGGTGTAGCTTCTGTGATCCACTCCTCTTGACTAGACCATACCACCTAGCCTCTGCCACTTTCCAGTAATGCCATCATATTACAGATCTGTTAACGAGTAATCTGTTGATTAAATTCATACCCTCAGAATCAAATCACTTTGCAAAACCCAGTTGTTATGTGTTAGCCAAGCCTTCAATACAGGAGTCTACTCAGAGTCAAACCA